AAAAAATTGCTAAGTAAAAAAAATTATATAGTCATTTATAAGACTTCAGCATTATAAAGATGTGATATGAATAAATGCTAAGTAAATTAAATTTTAAATTAATTGATTCTATCTCAATCATTTATTTACTTTGCTAGAATTTATTTTCTTTATAAATTAATAATTAAGACTTTTTTATAAAACAAATTTAGTAACATTTGTCATTGAAATTTGTTAAATAGTCCARTTATGAACAGACATGTTTATTTGTCGAAATAAATCAATTCTAGCAAAGTAAATAAATGATTGAGATAGAATCAATTAATTTAAAATTTAATTTACTTATCATTTATTCATAATATCACATATTTATAATGCTGAAGTCTTATAGATGACTATATAGTTTTTTTTACTTACTCGTTTTTTACACGGAGTTCGACGAAGTGTTTTTGTTGGGATATCAGTAGTTTTTTATAACATATTTTTATGTACTGGCATGTAATATGTAATTTTTTACGTTTTTATTAATTTATTTTATTATTACGTATGTTTATTTAATATACTCTATTTTTTTTAAAATCATATTCTATTTTTTTTCCATAGTATTACATAGTATTTGTCGTTTTTTTTTCTAAATAATTTCTCCTTTTTCGTAATTTCTGTTTATATGTTTTAGAAACCATTTTAGAAATAAAGAATCWCAAATTATAATATAAATAAATAATATAGTAGTATAGTACGGCCTACTACAACTACAACAAACGAAACAACAAATAAAACGTGGTTTTTCTACCGGCGCGGCGGCGAATAAACACTTCTAMACCGAACGTCACCAGAAACATGAATGTCGTTAACAATTAACAGAAATAACGAATACGATAAGCGAAGACGCGGGCAACGGCGGGAACCGCAAGTCGCAACCGCTGCCCAGTGTACGACCGCGACGAAAACGTATACGGAATAGAGAGGGTAATACGGTCACGTGCGCTGTTGCGTGAAACGTAATAACTAAAAACGGTCGAGCACAATATCTTTTTGCTAAATAATATATTCGTTATTATTCAACCAATTTTTTCGAAAATGACCAAGGTATAATCTACAAATCATGCCCGATCTATTRATACCACAAACAGACCAATCCGTTCRTTCATTAGGTCTGTAGCCCTGGCTAAAGAAAACGGGCAAATTTACACACATTCAATGGGCAAACTCTGGCTCGTGTAATATACTACGGTAGYGACCGCTTCGCTTTATTTTTACTTAGCTTCGCGCCACTACCGTCGCGCTGGATATACAGGGTGATTGATTTATCAAACACTAATTTTTTCAAAAATTATTGACTTTTTTCAAATTTTTTTTTTTTTCAAGATTGTAGATTATTTACACTTTTCTTGAATTGTTTATTTTTGATGTGAAACATCTATAGCCGCACGTAAAACAAGTTTCTGGCGTGGCGACGCATGCCGTGGCGACGCGTCGCCACGCTATATGATGGTGTATATACAGTCTATAATATGCAGTAGTGTGTACTGTGTGGCGACGCGTCGCCATGCGCAACCGACTGCGATTCTCTTCCCACTCGATCCCGTGTTAAGCCATCTCTCTCGCCACACAGCTCGGATACTTATAGTGTATACTCCATAGTGTTGTTTACTACGGTACACATAACCTGTCTTTTACTTGAAAACAAATTATTTTACCAATATTACCAATAATAAAATATATCTGACAGTGATAATTTAGAGAGTGACAGTGATCAGCCTCTTGCAAAGAAAGCAAAATCAAACTATGACACACTATCAAGTCATCAGTAAGTTAATTATATTTCTATTATAATTAAAGTGTGCATTTATCTCAGATAAATGCAGGGGCGTAGCGTGCATGTAAGCACTGTAAGCACTGCTTACACTTGAAAAAAAGGAAAAATAAAAATTAATATTAATATTATTATAATAACAAATTTCATTTCAAATTAAATCATTGACTACTTTTTTTACACGAGAGATTATTTCCGTACAGTCACAGAGGTTCAATAATTTTTAAAACCAATAAAGATAAACTACCATTGATTTTAGCTGGAGATTTCAATGTAAATTTTGCAAAAGATGAATCAACGCCATTAACTACGTTCCTTCAAGAAGAATTTCAATTGCAAACTAACAATAATCCAAGAGACCCTACTACCAGATACGGAACAACAATAGATGCTGTATTTATGAGATATCTTGACAATGTGATGTCCAATACTTTTGTGACATACTTCAGTTACCATCGACCAATTGTCACAGTAATACCGTCGTCAGAGGCAACATCGAATGTAAATATTACTGAAGTCACTGATTGAACAAATGAAGTTGTATATGTTGTTTTTATATTTAATGAAAATAAATGTTTATTAAATAAACAGTCATTATTTTCTGGAAAAAATCGTAATATTTTATTTTATCATTATTCCATATTTAGTTTATATCGAAATCTGTTCTTTTCAATCATATTACTTTTACAAAATAATGTCGATGTTTCACATCTGCCAGGCGTCCCGTGACGGCTCACATTTTTTTAATATTTTTCACCCTTATATTTTACCACTATCAACTTTTGATTTTCAAATGGTAACCTATACTTAAAATTTCATAAATTAATAAAGCTATTTTTTTTATTAATTATTACGTTAAATTTTCGAATTTAGCGCTAGTAGTTTATTTAAAGTTTAGATTGGCAGAGTGGAGTGGCATGGGGTTACCCCACAAAATGTTTGTCCACTACTCCGCTTGTCTAAATTTTAAATACTTATAACTCATAAACTACTCGTCCTAAATTCGATTTTTATGTATCAAAATTTTTAGAAAAATATTCTGCTTTGGAATATGAAATTAAAAAACTATGTTGCCATTCAAAAAAGTAAAAAACTTAAAAAGTGATAAGGATTAAAAATATAATTTTTTAATAAAAGCGTTGGTTTTTAACAACTTGAAACTATGTAAAAAAATATTTTGAAAAAAGTCAATACTTTTTTAAATAATAAGTGTTGTTTGATAACAAACAGAATCACCCTGTATAATATATGTATTACTAATTACTTGTTTTATTTACTAGCTGATAAATAAATCATTTTCAATTAGAATATAATACGATTAATACTATTTACTTACAGACATAATGACGATAAGACATGTAGGAATATAAGTGTGAAATAGATAGTATCCAAGTCTTCGTTTAAGAACAAAAATAACTTCAAGACATGTAAAATTTCCTAAAAAATGAGATGCGTCAATTAACGAAATATTTTAGTTAAAACATTAAACAATAAAATATATTAATATTTAATTGGTTAGCCAAATATAGTAGGAACTTACTTCTATATAGGTACACCTACCACTCATAGTAAACAATAAATTCTAATTGTGGTTATGATATTTATATACCAAAAGTCAATTAACAAAACTATTATTAAATCACCAACCTAGGCAAGTACCTAGGTACTTAAAAATGATCTTTTTTTTTGTTAAAAACAAACTAGTCGTATGTGTTAGCAATTTTTTTTAAAATACTTGGTGAAATTCATGTTATAGTATTTGTGTTGATATTCAATATATATATATATATGTTATATATGTTACACGCAATGTGAAATACTCGGCAATGAGTACATTGACCGGTCAATATGAACTACGATATTTTTTTTTACCAACAAATATTATTTTTATTATAAATTATAATTTTATTATTACCCATTAATAATAGTTAACAGTGTATAAAAATATAGTATTAATATTAATTTTATTAAATCTTATCATATAATGAACATTTAAGACAATTATAATAATAATAATATTTATTAAATAATTTAAGTAATTTATAATAAATGAAATTTTACTCTAAAGTACGAGATGTTGAAAGCACGTAATATAGTTTTTGTTCCCCATCGTATCTACTGCCTATTTAAGAATCATATTTCTCATATAGATATGGCGAAATCGGAATGATAATATTAATAGCTGTCTTGACAAAATCAGTCAACGAATAATTATTATACATTATGAACAATAATTAATATTTTCGACTAACCAGTCAAGTTTTTGAATTGTACGACACTATACGTCTAACCTACCTAACCTCTGTACGAATCTAAAGCAAAAATATAACTAGGGAAACAACAACGTCATATATAAATTTTTGATAGATACGAGTATGTGAGAGAAAAGGAAATAAAGCGAAAAAGGATTAGTGGTTAAAATAATTATTTCTTAGGAAATTAATTTGAGGCATCAAATAGATATTATTGATATGCAAGCTAAACTAGACGGAGATTATAAATTTATATGTGTTTACCAAGATCATTAGACAAAATTTGTTATAAGTACTTGGGCCTCTAAGACATCCAATTTCATTATTTAAAATTTTGATAGGCACATAGAAATATTTTTTAACAAAATAATATATGAGTAGGTAATAAGTATATTATATACCTGCTATTAACGTTATATAGGTATTTGTTGTTTTACTATGATATGAGCTTTAAATATTTATTAAATAATAAACCCGTGTAGTCTAAGCCAGCGTTTCCCAACCTTTTTGTAATGGCGACCCATAAATTTAATGTTTATTGTACACGACCCCCCGCTAAAAAAAAAAAAGTATGCCGTAAATAAATAAGATTTTTGTTATAATCCATTTTATCATTGAGTTTTTTATAAAATACAATACGAATATAATATGCTGAATAATAATAACTTAATAATTATATAAAATAAATTCTAAAAAAATACAAAAAATTTGTATAATAGAAAATTGCTGAATTTAGTGTGAATTTTGATTCTGGATGCTGTTGCATAAAATTTCTCACTGGGGTACAATTTCAGATAAACAGATGCGCATGTCATGTGTGACATCTAATCTGTTTCTTTGTTTTTTTTTAATAGTGGCCATGGTAGAAAATACTTTTTTCGCCCAAACATGTGGTAGAAAAAAGTAATAGTTTTTTTATTGCATTAATTGAAAGTTCTGGGTATTCATTATATATACTACACACCAAAAATCTACAAGAGTTTCATTTTTAAATGTATTTTCATAAGTTGTATCACAAAAAAAATCGATAATCTGAGTTTCAAGAAGCGTATTGAAGTTCAACTCTTCAATAGAAACAGTAGAATGATTTTATAACTGTAATCGTAACCGCGAGTCGCGACCCATTAAAAAAATTTCACCCATGGTTAAGGAAACGCTGGTTTAGCAGTATACAATATATATATATATATGCGTAAGCTAATTATATCGTAGCCCATTTGTGAACTACTCATTATTTTTCCTAACTCCTTGCTATTTTTAGGCTTATTGCGTGCAGACTAACATCAGTAAGGCATTTTAAGCACTGCAATTATTATATAGTTATAACTAATAACAATTTTACTTACTTTATTTGAAGAATAATTTATTACTTGCACGAAAAAAGAGCAATAGAATTATTATAGCACATTTATTAAAATATAACTATTTTTATTTGAGGAAGTTTATAACAAATAAGCTGAATAGTGAAGTTTAGATAATTTTAAATTTGGTAAATACCTGTGAATCTATACCGAACCTAAACATTAACTATTTAGTAATCTGACCTCTCATTTTATAATGGTTTGGATTTGGTTTCATATTAAATATAATACTATATAAAAGGTATCATAATTATTCAGTTTATTTGTTACTTCGCCAAATAAATATAATAATTATGCGTTAACAAAAAATAACAATTCTATTGGTCTTTTTTTGAACAAGTAATAACTGTTAAAATAAATTAAGTGAAATGGTTATTACTATGGTATAATAATAGTAGTTCTTAAAAAAAGTAATTGCTGTAAATCTATATGCAATGCGCCTAAAAGACAACAGGCCATTTGGAAAAATTGAAAGTAGTTCGTGAACGGGACGTCCCATTGCAAAGAGCCTATTATTTTCGCAAAAAACCTAATTTTCCATATAGCCTATGACATATACATATATATATTGTATAATGCTTAGACTACACTGATTTATTATTGAAAAATTGTTTAAAGCTCGTATCATTATAAAACAAAACATATAATAAGTTAATAATAGATAATATACCTAATCATAAATTATTTTGTAAAAAATTATTTCTATGTGCCTATCAAAATTTTAAATAATGAAATTGAAGGTATCAGACTTTTCTATGCCATGGCTACTCAAAAATACATACATTAATACCATTAATAGCTAATAATTACCCTACCTAGGTAGGGAAGGCTATTAATGGTATAGGTCCGTTACATTAGCACCATCATATTCAAAAATCCAAAAAAAATGTATACCAATGATTGTTATTTCATTTGTACACGTTTGTAATCCTAATATAAACTTTTATACAACTCTCTAAGCCCGGCAAAAATAAACTAAATTTATATACGTGTGGTGACCATAAAATGTTTGTATTTGGTGAAAAATATCTTAGAGTAGCAAGTCAAACATCTCAAATCTCCCAAAATGTGTATGGCACTGACAGTGATACCTAATCTAAATAATATTTATATTAAATTTATGAAAATTAACGATAATTAAGGGCAAATGAAAATGTATACCAGTGGAATAAACCTGAGTGCAATCAGCGGTTTGATTCTTGACTAATTGTAACTGAGGAAGTTCAATGTTTTCATCAACAACTAACGGTACATTTGGATCCCATTGGAATATCATGTCATCAGTGGTATGAGACACTGAAATAAATCAGATAATTCAAATTTATCATGGTTTTGTCATTTAACGATTTTCTTTAACTTACAGCTTTCCATTTGAAGTTTGCATTCTTGTGTATCATGTGGATATATCATGAAGTTCATTGCACACGATAATGTTAACGTTAATCTAAAAACAAAGTATCTCTTCGATGAATATTGAATTGGCTGAATAATAAGAATAATTATTTATGATCATAAACTCATACTTGACCATGTAGAGAATAGTTTTATCTTTATAAAGCCACATGTAATGATTTGGAATTGTCATCGTTTGAAATGTAACAGCTTTGGCATTTTTAAAAAACGAATCCGGTCTCCAAATGTTTTTTAACCAATCAACTTCTAATAATCTGAAAACGAGGTTTTACAAACATAATATATTACATTTATTGTAAACAATTATTTAGTATTTACTGTACAATTTACTATTTAGTGCTATATTTTATATAGTAATTAAACTTTTATAACATCAAGTACCAACCTTTTACAACTACAATATTACAATAATATTGACCCAGATTAAAAACTTTTGATTGACTCAAAATAATACAAAGAAATGCATAATACATTTTTATAAACACTAACCTATATTCGGAAGTCATATTTTCCGGTAAGCGAAGCCTATGATCCTTCCATGTTTGAGCAAAAAAAATATCAGCAGCATAAGTCTTGAAAAAGAAATCAAAACATTGAAATATAAAATAGATTTTAATTTAAATACAATTTGAGTTACCATTGCATTTTCATCGATTGAATCTAAGCCCATCACCGTAACATGAAAATGAACTTTTGTTGCCGTTCCATCTATTTTGGGTGGTCTCATTTTATCATATTGCTTTGCATCCTCTGGTAAAATATCTCTGAATTCTAAGCATTTTGAATACCTAAATTGAAAGTTATTAAAAGAAAACTACAAATTAATTGAATAATTCAAAATTTAGAATTTAGCTGATGTTTAAGTATAAACGCTCAACAGATAACATTTCTTAATAGATTAGATAAAAATTTAGGAATAGGTAGTTAAAATATAGATTAGCATTAGCAAAAATAAAAAAAAATAATAGTTAAAGTATGTTCGGTATTAAGTTTTGAGATTAAAATGTTACTGTACAACTTTTTTTCTTGGATAAATATGGATTGTACTTTTATTTTGAAAATCTGAGCGCCCTACAATTTTATTATAAAACAATAATATACAATTATTTGTGTTATAACTTACTTAATAACATAAAGGTAAATTATAAACTTAGTTATGATAGCACTGGATATTTGATTTGTATTCCAATTCTTCATAACTAAATTGTAAACCTAGAAAATGAAAATATATATATAGTCATATTTTAATTGATTGTTATTATTTCATATAATACAATTTTAGGTTCTAAGCGGAGTGATGAATGTATTGATTTTACAATGTTGTGTTTGTGTGTTTTTTTTTGTCTGTGTACACTATAAATTGTCGAAATAATGCTTCTATTTTCAACTTCAGTAGCTTTTCCGGAAAGTTAATTTAGTTGGTGCACTGGGGAGGTAAAACTTCCCAATAGTTTTCAAAAGTATCGGAATAAACTAACAAACAAATTAAGGAAAAACGGGAATTTTTACGTAAAATCAATTTTTGAGAAAATCGATTTTAGATGTTGGTGTAACTCTAAAACAAATTACCGTAGACACATGAAATTTTTCCTGAATGTTTATAMTTGCATTTTATATACATGATACAATTTTCAAAATATTTCAAATCTTTTTCATTTATTAATATACATTTTAAATTTTTAATCTTTTTAGTTTTTTTTTTTTTATAAGTGACAATAATATCTTATTTGTTGGGTAAAAAAGCTTCAAAATTTTACAAAAGGATCCTAATATACTGTGACAATGGAAGTTAAAAAAAATATTAAAAATACAAAGTCACAATTTTTTTTTTAATAAGCATTGAAAGACCGAATTTGACAAAATACGATAAAATCACGAAAATTCGCAATTCATTCTGAGTTAAAAATTCATAGAAATTTATCTTTTTATATTTAAGATTTGAAAATTCAAAACAAGATTCTTTACGAGTTTTTCTACTTGTATCAATTAAAAATGTCTACCGGAATGTCAAATTAAATTTGTATGAGCATTTGAATTACAACATTGAATATTCACTAAATTCTTCGTATACCCAAATTCTTATATAAACGTTATTCAATAACGAATAATTGTAGAAACATGAAATTTAGATCACATGTTTATTTTATCATTTCCTATACTTGATAATTTTTTCAAAATATTTCAGCAATTTTTAAGTTATTTATAGTCATAATAAATTTTCCATTCTTTTAAGTTATTCATTCTCTAAATGTCAATACAATTTTATCCGTTGGGTTGAAAACTTGAAAATTTAATACAAGGTTCCCCATAAGTTAACATAATAACAGTTGGAAGGAAAATATTAAAAATACATATGCAAGTTTTTTTTTCATATATAACCGTTAAAAGTTCAAATTTTAACAAAACTTATTAATTGAAAATTTACAAATTCTTTGGTTTTTAAAAAATTATAAAAAGTTTAGCTTTTATAGCTAAGGATTCAAAATTAATAACAAAGTTCCATGTAGCTAGTTTATTTTGTGACAAAAAAAAATCTAATAACCATACAAACACAATTTTTTTTATAGTTATTTTAAGTTTAAATTTGATTGAAATTACATATTAAAGAATCAAAATTTAGTTATACGTAGTGTAATTTAAAAATTCTTTAAAACCCATTATACCGGTAGATAGCATATGAAAACTACATGTTTAAGTAAAAATTAGTGTATTACCAATATAAACTGAAATTAATTCATTCTAAATGCAAAATTACACTTAAAAACAATATTTTTAAATCAAAATAATTTGAGGGTGCTAAGCAAGCCCCTGGCACCCCTGTATGTGGGCCAATGAATTTGAGTAACACATTAGTTATAATATGTGAATTATATAAAATATTATATTGGTAAACTGGCTAATATATTATTTATTTAACATTGACCATGGAGTAGATAAAGATTTTGAGGACTCTTCATAGTTAGTAATATTAAATTACTGAAAATGTAAAACTCAATCAATATTATATTATTTGTTTTACGATTATTGAAATCTGTAAAGTAGGTACTTCCCTATAAATTAGTATAATACACCAAAAACTTGTGTAGGTTGAAATTTAAATATGATGTTTGAATGCGATATTTATTCTTTATACATGATAAATGTAATATATTTGTTCACTCATACCTATAATTCATTTATCTCAATTGAAGGGGTTAATTAAAAAATTAGACAATTCCACTTTTTCAAGGAATTAAATATTTAAAAACTTCTCTATAGGCAAGTGGGTTTAACAACCAGACTAGTCCATTGGCTATTATATATAGGTAAATAGATACCTAAAATTTTTATTGTGAATTCAGTTTTCTGCAAATAATGGTCACTTTTAACATAATGAATAATCTAAATATTTTTCACATTAAATACAATAAGTACTCTAAAATAGAAGTCATAAAAAAATTTATTTCATGTAATAATTTTATATTTTATATTTAATCAAGGGGGCGATCCACCCCCCCCCGTAAGACCACCACTGATATGCATATCGTATGCATTTCAGAAATCGATTAATGTGAAATAATATTTACTTCAGTTTTTTTTTAAAAATTAAATAATAATTCAATTCAACAATTTTTTTTTAATGAAAAACATTAAAATGATAATAATTGAGTGGAAAACACCTGATAACTCCATTTCAGATCAAGTTCTAAATATATATTTTTATAAACTGTGTGTAAAACATAGGTATTATACAACTTGAAAGCAAAGGGTTAAAAATTAATAGAAGGTAAAACTGTGTGAATTGAGTTTAATTTTCATCTAGGAGATAGTGTCCAAAGAATAAATCAGAATAGGTATGTAGTGAATATGGTGGGAGGGGTAGTGGACGAAAGAATGGTGGTTTTGAAAAAGATATTATGCATAGAATTAGTGTGGATGGATGAAGTGGAAAAAAGCATTAGGTATTTTATGCGGTAAAAGAAAGCCATTCAGGTTAAAAATAATTTTATAAGACAGTAGTAAGGCTGGTGATGATGTAGGTATGGATAGGAATGTTGGGCAATAGATAAAACAATTGAGGGGAAAATGAATGTTGCAGAAATGAGAATGAGAATGAGAATGGAGAGAAAAGAGAGGACAGAATATGAATGAGTATAAAAGAAGTAGTATAAGAGTGTCTCCAATAGTTAACAAATTACGCGAGTATAGGTTAAGATGGCTAGAACATGATTTAAGAAGAAGCTGAGGCATTTTCAGTGACAAAGAACATGAGTGTTGTAAAAAACATGTACACTCGCCATCTAGTGTACCAAACTAACTAATACGAAGTCACCACCGCATATCTCACGAGCGATAGTTCGCCCGTCAAACCAAATGATATCGACAGAGCGCGCTACCCGGCGACATAGTACATCAATGACAACGGATAAATATTAATTAAGCAACGTTAATTAAGTCAACCCACCTCCTATACCTGATATTATATCCTACTACACTAGGACAATGTATTGGACACTATCAGTATCACAGTGTATGCAAATGTAATAAGAAAACACATCCAAAAGCAAGTATATTAAACTGTGTATCTATATCGTCTGTCACACAAAAATTATGAAAATTTTTTTACATTATTTTTTATAATTATTATTTGAAGAAAAGAACATAAATTATTTAATAAACTTTTTTTATTATTATAAATATAATTATATTATACAAGTTTTCTTACTTCTCTAGTAAAAGGTACATATTAAGGTACAATACAATCATGAATTAATAAAAAATAATCAGTAACACCTGTAAGGGATTCCGATGCTTCAATTTTCTCAATTAAACATCCACTGCTGATGAGGTTGTCGCCGAATCGTTCTGTTTTCAAGTATATCTATAATGGGTGCGTTCGATAGAATAGTAGATGTGCTCAATATAGGGTTCCATATAATTTTTCATCATACGATATCATATAATAAAGTATTTATACAAGCTCATATAGCAGCGTTATATTATATTTTTACCTGTTGGGCCAGGAGGGCCATATTATTATACTTTTTATATACCTTTCTGTTGCTGTGATTTTTATATTATATTGTGGATTTTAAATTATTTGTATATTACAGCAACTTAGTTACCAAAAACCGTGTTACCTTTTATTTTTATTTTAAGTATACACACCACAAACGTACACACCTACACACACCACCACACRCTAGCACTCTTTAGTTTTGATCGGCGATCCCGTCCACTTCTATCGAGTCGCTATACACACATATACTCGTACACGCATACACACGGTCGGTCGGTGTGTGAGTGCGCCGCGCGAAGTATTTGGTGACCGGGCGTCACAGCCTATTATTGTGTCGTTCCCGGCCCGTACAGCAGGTAAAGGCAACTTAATTAATTATCAAAAATTCTAATTAAATCTCGTATGACAGTTTTTCATGATTTATAACATTTTCAATATCATAGAAATCAATGTTTGAAAAATCATAAAAAATTAATTATTCAATTTAAACCAGGGATGGAAAACATTTTTAATATTTCCATTTTAAATTCTAAACGGAGCGATGAATGTATTGATTTCACKATGTTGTTTATTTTAGATTCTGAACGAAGTGATGAGTGATGAATGTATCGATTTTACAATGATGTGTGTTTTTTTTTAGGTCTGTGTACAGCATAACTAGTCGAAATAATGCTTCGATTTCAAACTTTGGGGGTGGTTTCCGATGTAAAATTGAAGATCCTTGGTGTATTATAAAGGTCAAAAGTAAACATTTTCCAACAGTTATCAAAAATTCGAGAAAAACAAATAAAATGACAGAAAAACTGGAATTTTTACGCAAAACCAGTTTTCGACCAAATTGATTTTTTTATATGGTTGTAATTCAAAAACTAATCACTGTAAATACTCTAAATTTTCACCAAATGTATATGTTAGTGTTATATATATATACAGTTTAATTTAAAAAAAGTTTTGACTTGTTTTGAGTTATTTATAGACCACTGAAATTTTCAATTTTTTGAGAATTTTTTTTTGAAGTGTCGGTAAAAAAATGTTGGACGACCAAAAAAACTTGAAAATTTAATACAAGGTTCCTTATAAAATATTCTTATAGTGATTAAAAAATTATAAGAATACATAGGCTTACGAAATATGTCGAAAACGCGAAAATTTGCAAGTAATGTTGAAGTTTAAAAATCATAAAATGTTTTCTGTTTATAACTAAGAATTAAAA